GATGCACAGACGTCTACCACCTTTCACCCATCGTCTTCTATTCACGTGACCGTACTTGTTATCGCTTAACTTCGTCATAATCTTTATTGTACCTCGGATGGTCCTGGGAACTTTCGGTTCTCACTCTCAACTTTCTTTCAAATATTTCTCTCCCTTTCTTAATTATCTTTGTTGAAATTAGAAGGGTGCAGAAACAGAGAAAAATAATAATAACAATAACATGTTACGTGGAAGAGTATGTCTAGGCTATTTGTAAATTAATTATTTATTTACTTCGACACGAGTAAAGGAAAAGGCTAAGTTTTCCAGCTATTCTTTTCTATGTTTAACTACTAATTCTAATAATGAAAAATGGCGGATTTCTAGAGACACTACCGAGTAAAAGGAAAATTTTCGAAATGTGAAAATGGTAGTAACTGTAAATACGATAAATCGAAAATAAGGATAAAAATTGTAAATTGTAAATATATCGAAATGTACAATTGGAAAGCAATAAAATTACTATTTACAGTCGGCTGTGCTTATGTTATTCTACCACTTATCCAAACTATTACCAGCAACACAGAAAGAGAAAGGACGTCCGCTGTGGTGTTTCAACACAAGCAAATAACTAGTTTCTAATCGACAAAATATAGTTTCTAATGAACGTGAAAATTAGCAACCATGTACGATGATATTATTGTACTTTTATAGGGAAGAAAAAATATGATTAAACGAAAGAGAAAGCGAGGAAAAGAATTTGAAAAACAAAAACGAAACATTTCATGGTACGTGATCGAAGACATGAAGACAGGCAGTTTGTAATTCAATACACGAAGAATGAAATATTTTTATTTGAATCCAAATTTACGTCGTATTCGTACAGCTGAATTATACGTGCAATGGATCCACAAGATAAACCAGTGACCTGAAATTTACATAAAATCCAATCCAAAGCTAGGTTTCTAGGTTGAATTGCGGAATCAGCCAGGGATTACGTTGCAAAATTCATATCCTGATGCAGAAAAAGTTTCAAACATTTCATAAGTATCGGCATTACAACTTTCGTGTACATTTTGAAGTAAATAAAAATAGCTTGAATATGTTTTCCCAACGATAATCGCTTTCTAATAAAACTTGGTCACAGTACAAGAAGATATTTTCCAAAAATAGAATGGCAAAGAGTATTAGAAAATCTGAAACACGTGGGTGAAAATGAAATTAAATTAAATGCTCGATTATCAAAAAATTATTACATATCGATACATTGTATATATTGTATATATTGTATAAAATTAAGGAGAACAAGGAATACAATCCAAGCATCGAAAATGATAATAAAACCGTCGTGTTTACATAACTTTACGTACGTTTTCAATGGAACTGAATAGATAACTAAATAATGGAAAATATTAAGATATAATTTGAAAGCATATGTACGGAAATTAATTACCGGTGCATCTCTGTGTCGAGCACAATTTCATTGGCTGTTCTGGGTATTATGCAATTCCGTCCATGATGGCCTTTACAATAAACAGATATTACTCAACAAGATGAAAGAAGACCTTGACAACCATAGTAGAATCTTAACCTAACGGTGAACAATTTCTTTCATTGCATGCTATATACTAATAAAACACAATTAGAAACCAGATTCGTAATAAATATAGTTTCCAGCAACTATAATTGCAGATACACAGTTAAACTCCGTCTGATGCTTTCTTTGCGATAAATTTGTAACACATTCTCGTATAAATATAATTGCAAAAATCAAAATAAATTTCGTCAATTTAATGTTCAATGTAGAAGCATGTAAATAGATAACAATAAACGAGGATAAAAATGATCTAGAAAATTAACTACTTAGGCATAACATAAACATAAATATAAACGATTACAGATATAGTTGTTTCGTCACTGCAAAATACTGTTGAAATTCGGCACGTGTTTGCAGGTTATATATCGCACGGTTTTACAGTCGCTATTGACCGTTTAAAAAATATCAAACGACCTGAAGAATCGTACTCTCACGGTACACGTGACATATCCAACTGGTAGGCCAATCGTCACCTGGCAAATGATTACTGACTCACGCGACATCTCTCGAAATCTATCGCAAGTATCATCGTTTCACCTGATACTCGTTTCACAGTTTTCATATATTTATCGAAAAAAAATAATCCGTTATTTTCAAACGTAAGAAATTAAAAAGCAAACACAAACGTCGGTATTAATTACAACGATCGGACGAATGACGTTTAATCGAATTAATACACGAATAACAAAGGACTGTTGCAAATGTATCGATGCGTATTACTGCCTATGAGAAGAGCATCGGTCCGTACGTGAAATGCGTGAGCGACGTAAAAACATTTGATCGTTCGAATAGACAACTGTCGCGAACATAGCGTGGCATTCAACTTACCTACCACCGTCGACATTTTCGTCTTGTGTGCTGTTGTAAGTCTGGTCCAAGTTTTCTTACGACCGTTATTGCTAGTGATGGTAAGAGACAGTGACGATTGCCAACATCTTTAGAGGCGTGATTGCCTACTGGTGATCCTATCCACTTTCGTTCTCAAACATACGAAGTTAACACACGAGGTCTCTCCGTTGAAGAATATACGCCCCTTATGGCGCGAATACTTGAAAGAACAATGACGGCTATCTGAATGAATGGACACTCCTCGTGCTTCGCAAACGAAAAGACCGCTCGTCGAAATTATATAACCTCTGCGGCAGCAGCAAAGACGATATGATACTGGCAAGACGATGTTTTCGTGCGAGTTAGTAATCACGAGGCCCGGCAATACCACTGCTGCTACTGTTACTACTATCGTTAAACTCACTCTCGTGCGGTAAATCACCAAGTTTTAAAAAGACCGTTTTGCTTGTCAAGTATCAAGAAATATTTTCTTTCATTCTATTTTTATACGTGATACTCACATTACACAATTACAGTAAACATATTCTGTTGCTTAAATTCACACACTTTAACACGCGTTTTAACAACCATATGCTGCTTGTAACGATAATTTCGCCCGCAATACTTAAATGACACGATTTCTTTATTGACGAAAATTACCATACACGAAATACGAGATATCAAATTAACCTGAGGAAATAAATTAACTCGATAAAACGTCCTGAAAGAAAAAAATATACTTCTGATCGTGATATTTCGAACCACAAGATTAGGAAGCAGCCTTGAAAAATATTACTCCGTACAAAAGATATGACGATTCTTTGAAGGTACTACGCACGATTTCTAATATATAATTGCAAACTTTAATTTGCTTTTTATTTTCACTATAAGTCAAATAAGAAAAAAAAAAAAAAAAGAGAGCGAGAAACGTCTGTACCGTGTGGCTTAATTGCCACATGTACACAGACTATGCGCGACATACAGCCGAACTCGATGTTCGGATGTTTTCGTAAAACTTCGGCAAGTTAGCTATGTCGCCTCGTTTCATCCTATTCTCCTTCTCTCTTCCTTTCGCAGGTTCTTTCCCTGTTTTCTCTTGGGATACTTCTTTGTACATCCTTTCACACGACCCATATATCTATTATTTTTACTGCTTAATTCGTTTATTAAACGATCCCTAATTTATTTAAACAAGGCTATTTCGCAAAATTCAACCGATTCTTCTTTCACTCTAGCTTTTACGTTTGTTTTTATTTATATACACACTAAGCATATTGTTTTCGTCATCTCTCATTTTTCTATTGCGCACTTGAAAAAAAGGAAAAGATAATTTGTATCGAGATTTAGCAAACAGATTGATACGAAATCAGGCGATTACATTAATGTGCTCTAATTGTGATTGACTAAATAACGTTAAATATCTTAAATGTTAGTTTCTCGAATAAGGTCATCACGAGACTGGTTGATACTTGTACTTCTAATACTTGAATTGATATACCAAAAGAAACGCAAATTTATGTTTAACGTAATTGTAATTTGATTTACCGTCTCAATTGCTTTCTATTCGTAATATACAAATTGATATACTTCTGATAATACGCATAATTCTACGGTTGGAAAAAGAAGGTGGAAAGAGAAATTCCTTTTCCGAATATTACGACTTATTACACGAATTATTTTGTTTAATATGTCTAATTTAAAAAAATAACTTAAAATATTATCCACACGAGGTCAGAAAAACTGAGCTACATAAATTCGAGACATCTGACAATAGCGGAACTCGCGAAATTACGATGTCTGTTCGAAGGCTTCCATAATTTCATTAAGTTAGTTTTCTTATATGTTTAGTCGTTAACTATATATATGTACACGAAATAAAATAATTTGACATTTCCAGAAAATGTATCTACGTTTAACATCAATACAGAACTGAGTATTATAAAATAAAAATGTTACTATTTAAAAAAAAAAAAAAAAAAAAAATAATGAACAAACTCTATAATTTAAAAAATAAAATTAAAAACTGCAATGTGAAAAAGACTACGTCGAAATAATATAAACAAAGAGAACTTGAAATATAGCTTTCAAAATATTGCTATATCAAATACAAGAAATATGCGGACAATATAAATAAATTGTTGAAAACACAAGTCGATTGAAAAAACATCGTTTAAATTGAAATAATAGCAATATTGAAAATAGAAGTATATAAAATTGTAAAAAAGACTCACCAATCTACATTCAAGTACCGTTGTCTTTGTTTAATCAGAATTTTTAAACTTTTTGGAGAAAATATATATTAATAGCAAAGAAAGCAATTAATGGATAAAAAATAATGCGAAATGAAAAATAAATGCGTCATTGTAGGCATTTTTACGAAATCTCCCTAATGGACAGCCACATGGACCGCATGGCTGTCCTAACCTCAAAACATAACCTCGTACGAGTACTTGAAATAGACATTAAAATTTAACTGCGTATAAAAGTAGATACATATATATGTATACATATAAACATATATAACAAACAATAAACATACATCAACATATATAAAAATTCAGCGAAATTAAAGATAAAGTAAAAAATTTGTACTCACCAGCATTCGGTACAAAACGTGGTGTATTAGAAGCAACCACAGTATTATAAGATTGAGGCGAATGAACACTTGGTTGATTGACGTTCACTATAAGTTGAGGTTGATGCTGTGGCTGATTGTGATGTGGTTGTGAATGATGCTGGTGATGTTGGGGCAGGTGGTGATGTTTCCCTTTCGTTGGCATGCTCATCGCAGGCGTAGGCCTCCCTTCTTTAAACTCTCCACTACCTTCAAAGCTTGTTGCCTTATGTGGCTCGCTGAGGTCCTCATAGGTACGTTATTTTCGTACGCGCGTAGTTAAGCGTAATGTTTGTCGAAAGACCTTCTTGTCCAAGCAAACTTTGCTGAAAAATTCGGCGTACGTAAAATGATGGTTAGCGTTCGATCACCCGAACGGAACTGATGGCTCGTTTACACGCGCGCGCACTTCAACTACAGCCAATTCATACGCTAAACTACGTGTTCACTTTTTCCATACTTCTTTTTTATCAAAATAACAGTTTTCGTTTGTATTCGCTGACAAATTATACACCTTTTCTACACACCGTCGTTGTCCATTGGATCATTTGACTAAAAGTGTTTACGCTCTTATCACTTTCTTTTCCAAGATTTGCGCGCGGTTGCAATATTCAACTGCGCACAATCACTTACTTTTTCTTGCAATACTAATAAACTATTATTGCCAATAATCGTACCTACGTCGTTCTACCTGCCTAAAATGTCGCGTAAATTGTCTGACAAACAGTAAATGATTTGTTTTCTTATAAGAAAAAAGAAGCGACGCGCACCGTACATTGAGCACAACCACAGCACGCCTTTCTTTCCATTTCCTCCTATCTAACGTTCTTAACGATAATATAAAAATCCCAACTTGTTATATATTCAATACAAAGATAATTCAATATGGTTTGAATAATTGTTGATAAATTATATTTATTAAACAATTTAATTATAAATCACAATTAAGTGCGCATTAATTAATTTGTCCTAAAGGTACTATTTTTTTAAAATGATGCAAACGGATTTGTGGTAACGTAACGAAACAAAATTGTACAGCAACCAATCAAATGTTCGGCATAAACTATATGATGAATATAGAATCGATCATATAACTATCTGATTGGTTGTTATTCATACAGACTACTTAAATAATTGATAATGTATCTAAATAAGTAATACTTTGTCATAAAAAATGCTTTTAATAATAAATTTTTTATCATTTTTAGATATCGCAACATTTTTTTGTTATTCTAATTAATATATAAAATATTTATTATGTCATAATAAAAAATTATAAAACGAATATGTTATAGACATATTTATAAAAATATCAGTATGTTATATTTTTATTATATTAAAAAAGAATTATAAAATATTATGGAACTTACGTAAAATCATATGAATGTATTTATATATACACATATCATACATATATATATTTTATGTGAGTATACCTGGAATTGATAAATTTAGTTGAATTAGTACATTTTTACTACATGTTATTGATTTAGTACAGTGCAGTTGTATACAATTATAGAAGTTCTAACTATAATTATATTTTTAAGATTGGAAAATAATTAATAAAAAACTCTTCAAACAATTTACAAGATAATTTACAATAATATTACAAGATTGATTTTAATTGTGGATTTCTGTCGTAAAATTCGAACAATCATACAAATTTAAACATTTCTTGTACTTTTTGCTGCAAATTTATTTAATTATTGTTATTTTTACACTTGAGGATGGGTTCTCGTGGTAAATTTGAAACTGAAAAATTAAAAAAGAATTTAGAAGCACAGTTAGATAGGCTGGTCCAGCAATTGGAAGATATAGAAGAAAATCGGTAAAATTTATAAATTATATTTTACAAACTTGTCTAATAATTTTGGAATTAATGACCTTCTCTTATAAAATTGTTATATTTAATAGAAATTTAGTGAGTGCAGCTGCCTATGAAGACGCTATGCAGATTACAAAAGAAGATTTACGAGAGTTCAATGAAAGTTTACAAAGAATAATATCTGGTGATACAACATTAGTTGATCAATTGGGTGCAATACAACTAGTATGTAATATATTTATATACTCAAATTCGAAAAAGTATTTATATAGAAATATTAATTATAAAATTTTAAAAATACTATAAATATTTAAAATTATATAATAGGCAATTCAAGCAGCAATTAGTGAAGCATTTAAAACTCCTGCTGTTATCAGAATGTTCGGAAAAAGGGAAACATCACAACTTAGAGAGCGATTGGCTCAAATTGATTATGATATAAAGCTTGGAAAATTAAGTAAAGAAGTCAGTGATCGTCAACGTGGAGAAGTATTAAATGCATTAAGGCAACTTGGAGAGAAATTGGAACCTCAAGAATTACAACTATTGGAAAAACTGATGCTTAGTAATATTGATACAACAAGTTATGTACAAGTATCTGAAAATGTAGAAAAAGGTCGTATGGCTATGGCAGTAGTAGGCGATGAAGTCAGAACACAAAATATCTAAACTTTATAATATCTTTAATATAAATTTCTAGTTTTTTTATTACGTTTATGATAAATAATAAATGTGACAAATTTTTGCAACTAATGTTTAGAGAATATTGATAAATCAATATTATATCATTTTAGTCATATGATTATTAATTTACATTTTATTGTTTATTTTATTTAAGGTTTTAATTAGAGTTTTTATAAAAATGTAATGAACTAAGACTGAAAATAACGTTAACAATTTTCAGTATAAATTTAATTTTATAAATAGAACTTAAAACATATAATAAACAAATATACATAATTTTATCCTTAATGTATTTTGTGCACTATAAATTATATTCATATTTATTTTTAGCTATATTATAGCACTGTTATATATAATGTATATAAAATATGTCTGTTTTATTTCATTGTCATACTTCACATAAATTATTTATGAGAATAAAGAAACATACATTTGTTACATACATATTTCAAATCGTATCACTATTGTTAATATGTATACATACATATGTTATATAAACATATAGTGAATGATACATTAAAAAAACATTTATTTATAATATTAAAACAATATATATTATATAGTATAAAGTTTTAATAAATTTGGTTTGAACTACATGATTTTATTGATAGTAACATGTAAAAATAAAAGAGTTTAGAGTAAGAAACTGATAGTTCATGAAATAATTAAAATTGTAATTGCTTGTTATAAAAAATTATTGAATTTCTAAGGAAATATACATATTCGATAATTACTTATTATCTTTTTACATTTTACTTATAAATAGAATTAATAATTACAAATCAAAACACTCACACTTGTTTGCATACATATTACAAGTGCTTCCATTTAAGCAGGAAGCTTACAAAAAGGCATGTCAAATTAGTGTCAAGAATATATTAATGTGCTTCTACAAAGTATCCTCTTTTTTACAAATACAGTAATTTTAATCTCTTTCTCATAAATTCTTTAATATTACCATATTCATTGCATCCATTATTAGTTTAACGTTTACGTCGGCAAACTCTTTTATGTTCACGCTGCCAGTGTACTTGTTGACAATCAGTACTGCAATATGCAGTATTCCAACAGCAGTGATATATAGCTTCAGCTTCACAATTATAACACTGAAATTAAGATATGTATTAGAATATATATATGGAAGAAATGTTAGAATATGAGACAAGTATTAAAGAATCATTACCCATTGTTTCTTCTTTATTTCCGATATAATTTGCTGATGTCTATCTGTTAGCTGCCGCAGTTCTTTAGCATGTTCAGCTTGTAATTTTTCCAGTTCTTTGCATTTTTCCAGTTCTAATTCGCGACGTAATTTTTCTAATGCTGTTGTAGTAGGTTGTTCTGATGTTCTGCGTTCCCTTTTAATCTATAATAAAAATAACGTAAATAAAATAATAGAGATAAAATACAAAAGTTATAAAGATATATACATAAATATAATTAATAAATGATCATTAAATTTTATACCTTTGCAGGTAAAGTTTCTGTTTGTATTTGTTCTGTCTGAACAAAAACACATTTGGTTCTTGGTTCTTGAGAACTAGATGTGACCATATCTTCTTGAGAACCTTCTTTCTTCAAACCTTGAGGGCAAGTGCTGGATATCTCTCTTGCAGGTTCATCTTCTGCTACTGGCAAACAGGGTACTTGTCTTTCTTCACTTCTAGCTTTACTCTTTGAAGAATGGTCGTTATGTTCGGTTCCCTCCTGGTTTGGCGGTATATCATTGTGACTATCCGAACTGAGGCGTTCTACTTTAACTCTTAAATCCTTAAAAAGTTGTTTCGTAGGGTTTGGACTTCCCGTTGTATTTTTCGAACCTGATGACTCTATATTTCGGATTTTGGTCGGTTTTGGACCCTCATTATCGTCGTTGATGTCCAAATCCTCGATGCTTCTGCCCAGTTTATGCAGCAAATTCTGATGGTGCTTCAGTTCGTCAAATGCTCTGTTCCAAGCAGTGGATCTTTTTATCTATGGAAGGTAAATTGTGCACGTTTTAAGAAAAATTGATTTTCTTCCGATTGCACAATGAAACAGAGTGGTGAGAAATTAGTTGTACACTTTAGGCCACAGTATGTGCATACCTTCATTTCTTTCCACTTTCCTTTTTCCGAAGGCTATGCAAGAATTCGTTGTTAAGATAATAATATACCTAAGTGCAACAACAATTTCTAAATTGCTTTTTCTCTCAACAGTTCTCTCCTATTGTGTCAGTGATACGATACATTGTAAATGGCGTGTAACCTAAACCGAGAATTTCACAGTGTTCGCGTGACAATTTCGCGTTGAACGCCGGATAATTTTGTGACTTATCTTTACCTGTAAACTCTGTAGACTGGCGGTAATCGGACGAATGAACATTTTTTCGATGTTGGCACGCATGTGATGACCTCCAAAAAAGCGGACGTCATAAATGTTGCCATTAACTTGCATCACTTTAGCTGGCCAGTAGGGGTACCCTTTTTGTTTTGCATAAACTAATTGATGTGGTGGATTACAGGGTATGCAAAACCACAATTTCTCTGATTTTTCATTTGATATCCTATAGCAATCAGCACAACGACGGATTTCTTGAAGGTCGTAGCAGCAATCTTGATACATTGTATGACCCATTTCTCCTATTATGCTGTGGGCTAAATAAATTTTTAAATTGAAATTATTAAATTTCTAGATTAATAATTATTTGTATTTTGTTTTTTAATTACATACCTCCATGATACACAATAATATTGTGTAAAATATTATGTGCATCAACTTGAAACTCTGTCAGATTGTTATATTCATTTTTTTTAATCTTTGAATCCATGATTGCTAAGTCCATATGGTGTTTTATGAGAACACCTGGTCTCCATGCATCTTCTCCTTCACTAATCCAAGTTGTACCTGAATATCTATTAGTTGGTGTAACAATTGGATCATTGTTAAAAACAATAGTACGATTTGTAATTTCTGGTGGTAATTTTGCTTTCAAATGTCCACAAGTAAAACTCAGAATGTGGTTGAGATCATTTTTATCTGGATATGTATCATTATTTATACTCTGTAACAATTATTTTTATTTTATCTCTATATAAAACTTTAAATTTTATATCTAATAAAATTTACTTACTTCACAGAAATTACATATTTTTAATTTAACATTACTAGGCATATGGCATTCAGGGTGATAAACCCTGTGACACTGTTGACAACATTCCACTACTCCTGCTTTTTGACATTTGCAACAATACCAATCATGACCATCACTAGGTATAATATCTGATGGTAATCTGTAGCTTTCTTGTTCTATACCATTCTTTGTTGGTACTTTTTTTAAGTAAACCAGCCCATCATCAACTGCTTTATTTAATTCTTCCTGTGCTTCTTGTTCTGTAATTCCATAAACTCTGGCTAGATGCCGTACCATGCGATCATTGCTTGGTAAACTTCTTTGATGTACAGTTATCTTAATAGCATCCCATATTCGTTGCGTCATGTAAGGATCTGTCCTTCGACGAATAGACATGATGGGAATTAAATACTAAAACAAACATTATTATAAAACTAAATTATTACCTTAAATTAGAAAGATTTGATTAAAATGTGTTATTTTATGTAATTTTAGAAATATTAAAACTTATTATATAAATTTATATACATGAATATTCTGCATCAAAAATATTACATCAATACCAGCATTTATTATTACAAAGATAAATAGTGTACCCTCATGTTACGATACTTGTCATATCTAAAACATAACAGTTGTTAAGAGACCCCTATGCTTAACATAACATATTAAAATAAAATATAATACTTTTAACCAACAGTATTTCTAAGTAGTGCCTTTTTCTACTGCACAAGGTGTAACAGTAAATAATTATAGTTTTTAAAGAAAATTTATTAACATTGATATTGCATGTAATGCAACACAAGTGAAGTTATAATAAATTTCTATGTATATAATATGTATTTCATAATACTTAATGTATGTGCATACATGTTATTGTTATTCAGTATTTTTACAATTATAATCTTGTTGAAAAAACAATTTAAACAATGGAAAGATACACCATTATACATTTTATCAGTATCCGATGTATTATTTTCTATATTTATAACAAGCATATTAATTATAAATTGTGACAATATATGGAATATAAAAGCTGATAATATAGAACAAAAGTTTAATCTTACAAAATTTATAGGAAAACTTGATACTACCATAAATCAAGACAATATAATTACAAAGTGTAATATCATAAATATAATAATGAAATATGGAATGCTACTCTTTCCATTTACAAATTCATTTGTGTCTTTGTTAATATTTTCTATGCAATGCAATTTAAATGCATTTTATCTTAAACATCAGTGTTTTAAATATCTGGAATCTGAAGAAACCATATGTGAAGATGATACTAGTATTAATAGATGTAACATTAAAACAAAATTTGATCCTATGGTGAAAATAATAAAATCCAACAAAGTTTTAATAATCAAACAGAATTTGAAAAATATTTCACATGTATTTAAGTGTAATAGAGTGAAGGAAGATAAAAAAGTTACTGTCATATTTGTATTAAGTCAATGGATTGTGCCTATTATTGTTACAGGACTTCTATACCTATCAGAATATGATACAAATGCTACAAGGGACATAGAAAATATAAAATGTTTTATCGAAAATATGTTTTATCTTGATGATTGTTATAGCAATATCAATCCTACAAATATGTCACAAATTGTTGATTCTGAAGTACATGTAACTCCACTATACAGAGATTATATTAATGACCAAGATTTAATGAAACTGCAAAATTCTAATACTCAGGTGAATGAAATAATATCTAAGATACAAAATCTTGTTTTCTCTATAATGAATGATACATCCACTACACCTATCAACACAATAATTTATAATACTTCTGAGTTTTTAAATATAATCAAATATTTGGAACCAGATACTTATACAAGAATTATACAGTATAATAAAAGTGCTGAAAATGAATCTAATTTGCAAAAGTATATAAACTTTAATTTAGTCAATATTGAGAATAATACAAATTCACAAAATAATGTACAAATGAGCAATTATACTGATAAAGACAATGAAGTATCATTATTTAATTATTTAATAACAAATTCTACAAAAGATATATTAAAAGAAGAAGCTTTTAATAATGAAGATAATATAAATACTACAGAAAAATTATATTTTAAGGAATTACAACTAAATATTACTGAAATTAAAGGTATTATAGGTAATTTTACAAATGTAACTCAAAATTATAATACATTAGTTACATCAAATGATGAAATATATATTGAAAATCTTAAACACATTCATAAGACTTCTGAACAAAATACATTACAAAATTATTACAAAAATAAAAATGACCATAATAATAAGCAGCCAGAAGAGTTGAAATCAACAGATTTTCACTACAATTCAACTTTACATAAACAAAATGACCTATTAGGTACCAAAATCATTACTTATCAAAAAGATAATATATCAAAGATAATGCAAGTATATGTAACAGATAAATGTTTCATATCAATTCAATTTTTAAGGCTACACTTGTTTGGACTAGTATTTATAATATATTTCTTGCCAATTTTACTTTCTTCAATTTTACAACAATATGGCAAACTAAATTGTCAAATTATTTTAGAAAAATTAAAAGCAAGAAATATAATATTATTAAACAATAGTAATTTTGATTCTATTAATGAGACTAAGAATATACAATGTAATGTTTCTATGGATTACAAGGGACCTAGCACTTCAAAACAAGACTTCAAACATTTAAATGAAAATTTTCAAGAATCCAAAAATTTTAATAAATTACAGCTAATAGAAATTCATCAAGGAAATTTTAACAAAACACAAGATGACCACTGTAAAAGTAAACAATATAATATTTCACTTGATAAGAAAGAAGTACAGTCAAATATGATAAATGAAATAGAAAATATGTTACAACTTTTTGATAATATTAAAATGTCTTTATTATGTGGCATATTATTATGGACACCTTTATTTTTTGAACTCTTAATCAAAGTATTTATGATTTTGTATATACCAAGATGGTTATTACATGTATCTTATATGGTTGGTATTGTATTTAATATGTTACGGAATATTTTTAATCTTAAAATGATAAAGCTTCAAAAGAAGAATATAAATACTACAAAAACAAATACTATACATCCCATTAAATGAATTTCAATATTATATTTATATGAATATTTTAAAATAATTTTTGCATAAATATTTAACTTTAACTTTATATTATAATTGTACATAGTATATACTTTTAGTTTTGCATATAAATGGCGTTATAATAGTACATTATCATTAGCTATGTAATTAAAATTATTTAATTGTAATTAAAAATTTGTTATTAAATTTCCTAATTATAATATATTATACGATTAAAAATAAATAATTTTGATCATGTAATACTTTCATTGATTACTGTATTTATAATTACGAGCGTAAAATTTTATATGAATCAAACTTTCCTTACCAAAGCTAATACACTAACTTGTAGTATATATACTGTTATTTTGAGAACGTAAATATAAATTTTTCTTTTTAATCACAATTAACAATTAATTCATGTTTCTTTGTTTTGTAATAAAATGTGTTAAAGACAAAAGTACAATTTTCGCCGACGCCCGTAAGCAATAATAAGACAATAATTAACGTTAGAGACGCGCAACTACATTGCACATATCGCGCACGTCATAAGTTCAACCTAACCCTAACAATGCGCGCGCATGTTATAATTCAAAATTGAATGTTATCAAAATTTGTATAGTTTAAAGTCAAGAGAATAATACAAATATTTTACATTGATATGAGAACAAAAATTCTGATATTTCAGAATCTGCTAATGTAATTTCTTGTACAATGGTTTCTTTATTTCTATATTTTAATTAAGAATATAAAATATATATTTCGTATTTTTACACACTCTATATTTTATAATTTATATTCACGCACTCTACAGTTTTACATCATATTAAAAGTAATTCTTCATAAAAAATGACATTAATATTGTATAGTAGTATCCAAATATAGAAATTATATACATTTATAAATTACAATTTACACGATTTCACATGCATAATTAAAAATTTAATCTCAAATTGTGTAATATTTATTATTTATTTATTGTATTATTTATATATTATTTCGCCTCTATTTCTCTTTTCGTTAATAAAGTTTATATATTCCGCACTCCGCTTTTTGATTTTGCATGCCCTAAGATTCCACTGAAACTCCCTAGGCCAAGGTACCAACGCGGCGCTACACGCGCGCCACGGTATTCGAATACATTATATTAGGTTCTAGATTAAGGAAAGAAGGATTTTATAGCACAAATAAAGTAAATGAAAATACAATTTTTTAGAAATGAAATGTTTTAGTTTCTACAAAGAATGAGAAAAATAAAATATTGAAAAGGGTTCACTACTCTAATTTTTAGAATATTCAGAAGAGTTTTCAAGAAGTTTAGTCAAGAGATGAAACCATGCATCATAAATATATGGTATAAATAACTAATAAAACATCAATATCTCGAAAAAATAAATAAATCTCTAAAGGACATTAGTATTTTTAAATTACTTTAAAAACAACAATAACTTCAAGTATGATTAATTTTAATCTCCTATAAATTTAAATAAAGTATTATCGAAAATTATCGATAGTGCATATGAAATCATCATAAATGTTCAATGGCAGTGACTATCGATAGTTCTCTACTGTTACCCTGCGATAAATGTTGGATCAATTCAACTTGAATGATCGACACTTAGTGATTAAATGATTTTGTCAATATGAATTGTAAATAGAGAAAAATTTATAACCAAACTCGCAAATAGGTTTTCAAGAAATTGTGGGTTCAATATAATAAATATCATAATAAGCAGTAGATACAAATTTTTTTAAACAAAGAACTTATTAATAAATATACGAATATTGATAAGGAACATATTAATAAAAAATATGGATATTGATAAGGAATATATTAATAAAAATATGGATATTGATAAGGAATATATTAATAAAAATATGGATATTGATAAGGAATATATTAATAAAAATATGGATATTGATAAGGAACAAATCATAAGAAATGCATGTACAATGGGTCATTTTGAAATTATTAATGAGTATCTTAAATGTAATTACTTCATATGATTGAATTATACTTTATACTAAATTTTGAAATGATAATATCTTAAATACATTTTACTAAAATGTAAATTATTATAAATATATTTTTAAATATTTTAACATAAAAACATTTCATTAATAATTTTATATGTTTATGTAGCACATGATGTAAACAAATTTTTGCATAATGAATGGACTCCACTTCTGTATGCCGTCTCCAGTGTACAAACTGAAATTACTGAACATCTTGTAAATAATGGAGCTGATGTCAATAAACATAAAAGTATTTATTTAGTATTTTATGTCATATTTAAGAAAGCTTTATAATTCTTTTTTATAAATAATGAGATATTTTAGATGGCTACACACCATTAATGGCATTATGCAATTCTCTTGAGGGAACAACTGAACAACGTCTAAAATGTTTAAAAATATTAATTAAAGCAGGAGCTAATGTCAATGCAACTAATAAAAGAAGGTATTTTTCAACATATTAGTCTGCTATTTTAATTTGTTTAAGAATGCTTAATTAATATTTTTATAGACAAACACCTCTAATGTTTGCTTGTATATTACAAGAACCAAAATTTGTAAAAGAATTAATAAAATATGTAAAAAACATTGATGCATATGACAGTACACACCAAACTGTAAGCTTTTTCAATAGTAATATAGTGATTTTTAATAATAACAATAAAATTATAAGTAATTTCTTTTTTTTAGGCATTAATGTATGCAACAATAGCTAATAAACCAGAAATAGTAAAAATATTAATAGAAAATGCAGCAGACATCACACTAACTGATTTCAATAATTTAACTGTAAATAATATAGCTTCTGAAAAAGGATATGATGAAGTAAGTTAAAGCATTAACATTTTATTACAAAACACAAAACAATATTGATGTAATTATTACAGATTTTGTCATTATTAAATTGTAATGAAGAGAAAATTGTAGATACTTATGAAATATCTAAAATGAATAACTGGAAAGATATGTATCCATCATTAACCAATATAAGTAATCAAACTATAGATTTTGATATATTTTCAATCTTATATGGGATGAATTTAGAAGAATATATTAACATATTTCAAGGAATGAATCTTAAAACATTTTTGATGTTAACTGAAAATGACTTATGCCATTTAGGAATGGATATTAATGCACACAGAATTCAGTTTCTAGAACATCTTCATCTATTTCACAGGAAAAACTGGAGTATACAAAGTATTGGTGCTATTACTGATTCCTATACGTATGTTTCCCAGATAATATTATAATTTCATTAAATTGAGTAATGAAAATTTAATTTTATATTCATTTTCCAGATTATACGATGGTATACTAACATTAGGTGTAATAACTAAACAAATTGCTATTATTGGTTCTAGTTTTCAATATATTACAAACAATCTATTAAAATTAAATAATGAAAATGTACATTTAACAGAAGAACAAATATCTAATTATGAGGAAAAGCTTAAAAACACACAAGGCACTCTGAATATTTTGGAAAAAGAACTTATACAAGTAAAAGCACTTTCTAAAAAAGTAAGTAAATAAATATTTGATAATGAACATATATTACAAAATAATGTTAAAATATATTTTGTTAACATAGATTCAAAAAGAGAATGATATTGGTATACCAGCAACATATATTGGTCCAGAAAAACGTAAAATAAATTGGCCTATGTTCTTAAGTATTACACTAATTGTAGGAATTTGTATGTCTAAAACAATATGCAGTCGTTATTGAAAATATGATTGAATTTGTGGAAAGCATTTATACATGACTTTCTAATTTATTTTTTTTTTCTTTTTTTTGTTCAATCAATAAATTATGTATGCAGAATTTTTATAAATTTTTATAAATGTGGAAAATACATCTAATATTTTATGCAATATAAACTTTAAAAATTTTAATGTTCATTTACATCGATTAATTTTTTCATTAATAGAAATAGTGGATGGAATGTTGGAAGATTCTGTTGTCTAACTGTTAATTGATAACGTTCCAGCGATCCACTACAAAAAGCCAATCTATCTCTTTCATTTGGATGTTTATCCATCCATTGAGACAATCGGCCCACAGACCAATTTGTACTCTATATTAACAATAATTAAAAAATTAATAATAATTAAAACCTTCTTAAATTCAAGATAATTTAATTTTACTGAAAGATAATAATGCCAATATACAGTTTCGTACCTGATGTGGAGATACTAATTCAGGAGGTGCAGTAGAAAATAAGTATAAAAGAATAAAAGAGGGTGGTACACCACATTCTCCTTTTCCTTCTAAAACTTTTTGAACAATTTCATCTGCACTAAATGGAAGCAATGCTTTTAATGCTCGTAATGTTCTATACTGTTGTTGTTCTGATGATCCCAATTGTCCTCCTCTACATAATGGAGCAACAGCTACTTCTATCTAAATAAATATGATTTAAATTTAAATTTAAATTTTGTTTATCGTGAAATACTATAACATACCTGACTGAAGTCAACAATGAGTTTGGCTCTTCCAAAATCAGTTAATGGTCTTAATAAACAAACATGTCTTACAAAAAGTTCAATGCACCGTGAAGCAACAGATTTACAGCTAAAAAGATGTTCAATTTCAACATTATAATACCAATATAAAAAAATTATAATTACATTTTTAATTACCATTCAGCAACTACTGCTTGATTTTTATATGGAACAAGAAACGTATTTACAGAACGTAAAATAAATCCTTGCAATTCACGCATGTAGAGCGAACAGTTAATTTCTTTTCCTATAGGATTACTTGGACTATACAAAAAAAAATATATATATATGACTGTTATATATATAGTAATATAATAATAGCATGTGATAAATATATATAATGTTATTATGCTAAGTTAACATTACAGTTAAATTGAGAATATTGTATATTACTTACTCCCGAAATTCTGCATCATCGTGCATTGTTAAAATAATACTTTCAATTGCATCACTAATAGATGCTAGTAACGGCGATAATATATTTTTTGTTAATATATCTATTTCTTTAAGAGTTGTAGAAATTATCAAACTTCCTTCTGATGGGAGTCCAGATAAATTTACTATTACACGAGTTATTTGACTAGAAAGATAATAAAGAAGGTTCGCAAGAGACACGTTTGTCTGCTGAACAGTGGTTGGGGAATCAATTACTTGACTAGCTTCTCCACCCACAAGCAATCCTTGTTCACATTTTAAGCAAAAAAGCCTTATAGCTTTACCAACATTACGTGCAACTACTGTTGAAAGACCATCATCAACCAATGACACACTTAATTCACTGTAAAAACATAAATTGATATTTAATAATAGTAATATGTAGTGTGTAAATACACATGCATGGATTGTTGTGAACTACGTATTAGTTCAATTTACTTTGTTACTGTACGTATTAGACCATCAATTTCATCCTGTGTAGGCAAACCATCTCCAGAAAACATAGTGTGTACCGGATCTAATAAACGTGATACGGACCGAGATAAATATGCATTTTCAAAGGGCAATAATACATTGTGACTAAAACAGAAAAAAATATATGTTAATTGCATTATGTAATATTTGCTATTTAATTTAAATAAATATATTTTTATTTACTTAATTTTGTAGATACCAATACTCTGTAATCTTTCCTTCAAACGTTTTCTCAAATCTAAAAATATTCTTAAAAACTTTGGATATTCGCCTTCTAATGCTTGTTTTACAAATGATGATCCTGAAAACATAAACAATGTACATTTATTATTATAAAGATTAATATTAAAATTAATATTTACCTTGTGCACGTTCAATTAATACTTTTGAAAGTAGACAGTTTACTCTGTCCCAAAATTTTTGTGACAATTCATCTAATCCCTTTGTATGATGTTCTAATAGTATTCTTTGTAACAGCTCAATCTAAAGTATGAGTATAATGTACATTAAAAAATGTGAGTTTTTCTATTGACCAAATAGATTTCAAAAGTTATAAAACAAGTATTTTTTAGTTACTTGTAAACAGTGTGTGTAAAGTGTATCTTGGAAAAGTCTTTCAAGATTTTCCCAAATTCGTGTGCGTAAATTTCCAGAAGAGCCTGGAGAAGGAATAGCAGCTCGTCCAGGTGCTGTTCTCTTTCCAACATCTTGATTTGTTGCTAAAGTCACATCTAATGATTCTGTAGCAATTCTTTCAATTTCAGATAGAGCAGAATCTATAACACTATTTATAGCTCCATTTACAATTCCTAGATTTTGAAATACTTGTACAGATGTACTGACCTATTTGTTATAAATTTATAATTAATGATTCTAAAGACAATATTATTTAAATAATCATTATGTATTTAAATACTTTAGTTCTATCCATTGTTTGTAATCCTTGACATAAAGTATGAGTTGCTATTCTTTGTACAGTTGTTCTATGAGATTTTACAGCTTGCTGATCATCAGCAATAACATCTAATCCATTTAAATTTGTATCCATCATCAATTGTTCTACAAGTTCAGACTATTATATAATGTCATAGTTTCCAACAATATGAAATGTAAAATGAAAAATGAATTAATATACCAAGTTCATGAAGACTATTAGCAGCTTTTATAATATCTGGACCATGCATATTATTTGTCATTTGAGAACATAAACGTTTTGATAAATGTTGCATCCTAGCTACTCTTCGCAATAAGTCTGAAGTTTCATGAAGCCTTGCTAAAACAATTGTCTGAGTCTCAATTCTGTTAAAGGGGTCAATAATTTTTCCACGTAAACGTTCTACAGCTGACAACAGACTCTAAAATAGACATTTACTTTACATTTAGAACTATTTCTACTCCTTTTAATATTTATATATGTACATATATGTACCTGAACATGTGATTGCATTATTGAAAGTACACCTTCCAACTTTTCGACCCATGATGCTTGTGACAATAAATCTTCATGATTAGCTAATACTTGCTTTTGTAATTCGGCATTTAATATTTCAATAGCTATAACAAAAATATGTAATATACTATATTGTAACATCATATGTGAAATATTTAATGTTTTTTATTTACCTTGTCCTAATCTATTTATCTGTTGTGCCACTGATAGCACTTGGTTGATATCACCTTTTTTGGGTTCATCATCGAAAAATTGTTTGAAAAATTCTAAAAAATACAAACTTAAGAAAGTACCATTAATACACAATTCGACAACTAATATTAAATAAATTACCGTTGTTTTCTATATCTTCCCAACTTGTAATTTCTTCCATTATTAAATTAAAAATTTCAAAAATATAAATAAAATATGAACGATAATTAATGACACGTAGCAAAAAATTTTATAAGTTGCAATTAGTTTATAAACTTTAAATATTACACTTATTTGTTATTATAATTAGTTATTGTATATTTTTTATTAATTATTCCACATTTATTCACACTAAAATTTCACTGAGAAAGATATTTTATGTCCGTACATCTCCGTTATAATACGGGCGAATAATAAATGTAGGTCCACGCATCTGTGTTAGTATAATTTGTAAATACAGGGCCATATGTCAAGTGTATGTAGAGTATCAAAATAAAATTAACAAATAATTTTAAACAGTGAATTGTGTAGAATAATTTGTTATAAAAAATGATACATAGTCTTTTTATTATCAACTCGTCAGGGTAAGCATCAAATTATAAGAGACACATATGTAGTCTTTGATAAGTATTTGGTTAAATGCTTGCATGCAAACCTACATTATTGTGATCGTGTTTATTGTATAATATTAAATGTTTTTGTATTTGAAAAAAGTTTGTATAAACAGCTATTTTTTTAATTCCTTAAACTGAATATATAATATTATTCTTAGAGATGTTTTCATGGAAAAACATTGGAAAAGTGCAGTTGCACGATCATTGTGTGACTACTTTTTTGATCAACAGCGAAGAGTTTTATCTCCTGAAGATACACCACCAGTAATAGCTACACCTCATCATTATCTTATTAGTATATATCGTTGTAATATGTTTTTCGTTGCAGTATGCATGACAGAAGGTATTTAATAAAATTTAAGTGATAAATTGTTTTGATTATAAAGTTTCTTTGCAATATCATTTTTATGTTATAGTTCCACCATTATTCGTGATAGAATTTTTACATAGAGTAGTGGACACTTTTGAAGATTATTTTAGTGAATGTACGGAAACTATTATAAAAGAAAACTATGTGGTTGTCTATGAATTGTTAGATGAAATGTTGGACAATGGTTTTCCTTTAGCTACAGAATCTAATATTTTAAAAGAACTTATTAAACCACCAAATATATTGAGAACTATTGCAAATACTGTTACAGGAAAATCTAAGTAAGTATGCTCATTATATATTTAGGACAAAATACAAAAATTGATTTGAATATTTAATTATATATATAAATTATAGTGTCAGTGCAACTTTACCAAGTGGACAATTGTCTAATGTTCCTTGGAGACGTACTGGTGTTAAATATACAAATAATGAAGCATATTTTGATATTGTGGAAGAAGTTGATGCTATTATTGACAAAACAGGTGCAACAGTATTTGCAGAAATTCAAGGCTATGTATGTTCATTATTTAATATTATTAATACTAACTCATATATTGATAAGAATATTTGCAATGTATTGTTTAAATTATAGATTGACTGTTGTATAAAATTAAGTGGTATGCCAGATTTAACACTTTCTTTCATGAATCCCAGATTATTTGACGATGTTAGTTTTCATCCTTGTGTTAGATTTAAAAGATGGGAGGTAGGTATAAGTAAAAGTTTAAGTTTATTAATTGCATCATTAACAAGACATTTTTCTTTTAGTCAGAACGAATACTCTCTTTTATTCCACCAGATGGTAATTTTCGTCTTCTTTCATATCACATAGGCTCACAAAGTATTGTGGCAATTCCAATATATGTAAGACATAACATTAGTCTCAAAGAATTAGGAGGAGGCAGATTAGACATAACTGTTGGACCAAAACAAACTATTGGAAGAACTGTATGTATTATATTTTATTTTTATATTTCTGTGAAAATACAAAAATTAATATAATTAGTTGGACTAAATATATTTTAGGTAGAAAATGTTACATTAGAAATACCTATGCCAAAAATAGTATTAAATTGTACATTAACACCAAATCAAGGAAAATATTCATTTGACCCTGTTAGCAAAATATTGTTGTGGGATATTGGAAGGATAGATGTTTCTAAACTACCAAACTTAAGAGGCTCGGTATAATAATTATAAAATTATAAGATAATCTTTTAGAATTTAGGCAAATATACAGAAATTATAAACAAAGATTTCAAATTAAAATTTTAGATTACTATTCAAAACTCTGCCAGTGTGATGGAGTCTAATCCTGCAATTAATGTATGTACATATTATATATACTGTTATCATATAAAGAAAAGTATAAACATTATTTTATTTTAGGTTTATTTTACAATTAATCAGTTGGCAGTTTCTGGTTTAAAAGTCAATCGATTAGATATGTATGGAGAAAAATATAAACCATTCAAAGGTGTTAAATATATTACCAAAGCTGGAAAATTTCAAATTAGGATGTAAATAAAAATAATGTGAAGCATTTTTCATATCAATCATGAGACTAAGTATGTGTCTTAATCTTCATAAGAATATATATAATTAATAATAAGAAAGAATAAAATCTTATAAAATAAGGTAATTTGACTTTTATTCATATTACATATGTTTACTTTTATAGATAAATGAAAGTGTTCAACACTTCTTATACTCAAATATTTAGCTATATCTTTTACTGTAAATAATTCTAAATAAAGATAAATATTAAAGTAATGACAAAATAATAAAAAGATATTTACTGTTAAAAAGATGAAAGCTAAATAAAAAATTTTATGAGAACAAAATATTAAAAGGATATGATAATATATTAATAAGTTTGAGATTAATTTTATTAGTAAAGTATATTTTAAAAAATAATCATCTATAATACATATAACTCTTTAATTTATTTATATTTCAAATCATTTGTTTTTAAAAGTAATATAACAAATATTTATATTGTAGATTGGTGACATGATAACTTTTTAGCTTCAAGGTCTTCCCATGTTGGATGCGTCGCATATGTAAATAAACGTTCCATATTAGTTGCATAAATAGTGTGATTACTAACAAGATTTTTATACATCTGTATGAAATAAAAAAATATAAAAATCATAAAATTTTATAAAATATCTTAAGACTTTAATAAATTATTTTCTCTGACCTTTAATGTATATTGTAAATCAGCTGTATTAATAGGTTTTAATGATGGTGGAATAGTTTGTGGAGAACATGCATAAGCAAAAGCTGTTGTCTGTTCTGCTTCTTCGATATTTGGTTTTATTATAGGCACTTGGCCATAAGGATCTACTATTTCTGTTGCAGTATGATCTGAAGTTCTCAATATGTGAGTGGAATTTCTTTTCCATGAACTAGGTACTGGTTCTCCAATACTATAAATAAATGAACCATCTCTAACAGTGTAGCCTTTTCTCCGTGTAAATATTGCTGTAAGTATATTCTTTAAAAAAATCTGTGTTGCTGCTATAACTATATGTGCAGTATTTTCTTCTGCTCCATCCATATTATTTTCCCATGCTGCAAGCATTAATCTTGCTAAAACAAAAGTTCTATCTGGTAGTACAAGCTCCTGAGCACTAGAGCGATTTGCTCCAATAGGTTCATCTCCAACAGGGGATGAAGTTTGACTCAATACTTCGACATACATATCTGCAGGCTAAATATAGAATATAAAATATGAAAGATAGCCAATTTAATATATTAAAAGTATATTAAATTGGTTATAATCATCTACCTCAAAATTTGATTTATCAGTTTTGTATTTGCGTTTCAATCTTAGTCTCTTTTCTTTTATAGCTTTATCACGATCTAATTTTCGAATAGGTGTTGCAGCAGCTAAGCCTCTCACTTTATTAAATAAGCAAAGAAGAAATTCATTATGAAGATGAACTTGATCTTCTGTCATAATATTTCTTGCTTCACAATCAAATTCTTCCTTTGTTGTCTACAATAACATTTTATAAATGATAATCTTAATGATAGTAAATTATTGTTTAGTAATGAATGTTATAATAGAGCACCTTCATTTGAAACCAAAGTTTCATTTTTTCAAAGTATCTGCCAACAAAATAAGATTCTATAAATATTTATATTTAAAAATTATATTTTTTATAACAGATATGAAGATAACATTCGAAATAAAGAAAAAATTAGGAACATTATACTAGTTTAGAAAACAAGAAATTTTGAATTACAATGTCCCATCTAGAAGAAAAATTATGTATAGGTACTAATTTTTCAAATATGTTTAATTTATAACGTAATTTTTCTTTATTTTTTAAACTTAAAATATATCTTACACTTTTGCGTTTTCACCAAGTGAAGCTACGAGACTTTTCCTGGCGATGTTTAATTCTTTCGAGGTTGTCATTTTTGTAGTGAACTTTAGAAATAATAACCTATATTGTCGATTTCAATGTGATTCTTAAATTTTATTTTAATTTATCTATATTATAATTTCTTCAATTTAATTACACTATTATTTTTATCATATTTCCATAAAATTTTATGTAAATTATATGATAATTTTGTTATATGTTTTTAAATAATCAAATCTCTTAATTAAAATTTTTGTACTGACTGCCATGTTGATATGTATATAGGGTATCCACGTTAAGTTATGTCATTATTTTTAAGCCATTTTCGGTAGTGTAATTAAAAAATGTTTCAGACAACATTTTTTGAGTATTTGATGGGCTACATGATTTCATATTACTGGATCTCCAAAAATGCTTTGTACATAAAAAATTTAAAGTTACCATGATTTTTTTCGATGATACTATATGATTTTGATGTCACAAGATTGAATTCGCTTCGACGTCAGCTATAATCCTGACATCAAAAATATATAGTGTCATTGAAAAAAGTCAAGGTTACCTTAAATTTTTTATATACAAAGTATTTTTTGAGATCTAGTAATATGAGATCATGGAGCTCATAAATACTAAATAAATTTTGTTTGAAATATTTTTTAATTGTACTACTAGAAATGTCTTAAAAATGGTGACATAACTTAATGCGAACACACTGTATATGTCCTATCTAAAATATGAAATAGTGAATTTTAAAATATATAATATTCAATGTTTAATGTGAACTTAATTTTGAACTTTTACAAAAACTACTATCAAAAGATTATTATAAAAATTATTTACTTATATATTATATCTATATATGATAAAATAGTGAAAGCAAGCATGTTAACAATCTCATTTATTGTATAAAAAACGCATACAAAGAGGTTTATAGTATGTATATACAGATACAAATATAAACATATATACGTTTAAATATATTTCACATATTATTACTTTCAAAAAAGTTGATTTTTATTGTTATAAAAGCTAGTAGTTATAATAAAAATTGCATCACATTAAAAGTTTACATTTAAAATTCTATAAAAACAATCTATAGAAACAAAGGTTTTTATTTTTATACATAAATCTTATTAATAATAAATAAAGTGAATATTAAAATAATGTATATGTCATTAATTATAAATTAGAATATAAAAACATGTATAAAATTTTTTAAATCTTAATATTATAAATTTTGTCATTAATCATAGTGCTATAGAATTTTATTTCTATAATATAAAAGAGTATAAATGTAATATAAAAATTCAAAAAGTTCTACAAAAACCTGCGTAATATCACATATTCATTAAAATTTTGAGTTTTATTACTTTTATTTTCTTCTAGAAATGCAACTTTTATTTTTTATTCTTATTAACTATATTTTTTTTATTTGTTGTCACCTAATTTCTTTTGAAAGAATTTTAGAGCCTGGTATTAAATCCCATGATATAGTGCTTGTATCTAATTTAGTACATAAATCCATTATAATTTGAGCACTCTTTGCTCCCCTCAAAACCCCCAAGCATGTACCAGCTGCCATGTTATATATAGGTGTATTAATCTAAATAAAACATGATTACTTAGTAAATATGACTTAATTATGGATTAATTATAAGCATTAATAAATGAGTCGATATTTACATTACTTTTGTGACGCCATTCTTGATTACCACCCATCTCATGGCATTTTCTAAGTTTTGGAATTTTCTCAGCTCCTTCCATACAAAGCATTTGACCAAGTACTAGTTCTTTTTTATTAGTTTCATACCACATCTATGGAAATTGAAGCAACTTTTAAGATATATGTTAATAAAATAAGTATTACTTTAAATTAGAGACAGGTTTTAAAGTAATATCTGATCACCTGTGACTTAATTCTTAAACATGGTGCTAAAATAAGTTTGGAACCTTTTGTTTTAATATCTTTCTCACTCTGAATGCATAATGCTGAATTAGAAAGTCTAATTTGATATTGATCAGTGTAATTTCTTTTTCTAGAATGCCAAGGTTGTATTGGTTTTTGTTCTAGTTTTGTCCATTTATCCTTTAATTTATTTTTGTTATCATCTGGTAATGCTAATTCAGGGTATACTACTTGTAAGTACCATGCAAAATTTTTGCATTTCAATCTTTCTCGCAAATTTAATCTTTCTGTAATATCACCATAATCAATTTTTTTAACATTTTTTAAATAGTAATCCTTATATTCATCTAGCCAGACATGTGCTACACGTAATGAGTTTTTCAACATAGTATCATGTTGATCATATGCACCATATGGTCTCCTTCTTCTGAATACATGTCCAACTCTTGAACATGGTATTAATTCAATACTTCCACCACACATCCAAATCTACAAGATAATACAAATTACTACCATAATAAAAAATATATGATTAAATGAATTATTATCTTACTCTAAATGATATTTCAAGATTTTCACCACCCCAGATGTCCATACCAGCATCATATTCTCCCAACTTTACAAAATATTCTCTATCCATTGCGAATAAACCACCTGCCATTGTTGGAGACCTATTTAGTAACAATCATCGACATGTATATTATAGAAAATTATAAAGTAAATATATATATATAAAACTAAGTAAATATATTCTCACTTTATTGGCTTTATGAAATCTTCATCATGTACTAATGTACCAACTGGCAAATTATCCCATTTAAAATGTAAACCCCAATTAAATCCACCTCTTACTAAAGGACTACTAGTATATTGAAATGTATCTGGATTAATTATATCAATAACTGGCATAACTGTGATAGTTTTTGAATAAGCAATTCGTGAGAGAAGAGGTTCTATCCATTTTTTGTTTACTTCTATATGACTGTCTAGGAAAATTAAAACTTGTCCAGTTGCTTTTCTTGAACCAAACATTCTTGCTCTGATCAATCCTTCTCGTTTTTCTGTTTTAAAAAATTTCACTTTACCATTAAAATTATTGGTAGTATATATTTTAATTTTTTCATGTAAAGCTTTACTATCGCTATGATCATTTACTAAAATAATTTCATGTAAAAGATTTTCAGGAGTTCTATCAATAATTGAATGCAAGGATCTCAGAAGTGTCATATAATGTTCATTATAAAAACATATAATAATGCTAGCATTTGGTAACTTAAAAGAATACTTTTGTATTTCACATAATTTATGTCTTGTATCTGGTAATTCTCTACGTAATCCAATGTTATCTGATACTAAAATATTAAAGGAATAATTTTTATATCCCCCATCCCGTTTTTGTTGATCATCAAAATTTTTAACCATTCCTAGTTCATCTAGACCTATAAAAAAATTGTTTATACAATTATACTTTAAAATTTAGAAAATTTACAAAAATAAATAAATTTGATATTAAAATTATAAATAATGTTAAAAAATAATATATTAGCATACTAAAATAAATAATTTCTTAATATATATTAAACATACCTTGCTCCAATGTAACAGCAGGTTTCATTGGTACAGGTTGTAATTGTTGCAATAGCTTATCACTATTTTTATAGTTACTTCCTCTTAAATTATAAGTACTTTTATCTATTATAACCCCTTTATCATCAGGAAAAATAAAATTATTATGTAATTTGAATTCTTGATTACGATAAGGTTTATGATTAAATTCGAATCCTTTTCCTAATTTTGAATTTTCTAACACCAACATTGTTGGATTGACAGTATTAGTATTTTGAGATAGCTTTGAATAAAGATATAAACTGAAGGTCCATGTTAATGAGGCTATTAATATTCCAGATATAAAAGAAACGTATTTTGTTGACATCATCTATAAATCATCGAAAAAAAAAAAACATTTATAAATGTAAAATGTATCACTTGTGATTTATATTCATTGCTAATATTAATCATACTAAAAACAACTTTTCTTAAATAAAAAAGTATATATTTTCCAACTTACGTTAGCATACTTCTTTGTTAACCCAATTCAAATTGTGACAATACGATTAAAGTGCATTTTAAAAAAAAAAATGCATTCACGATGACATTAAAAAATGCATGTCACCATCTTGGAAATTACTAGTAACAACTGCTAGTATTATTGATTTCTTATTGTCTTGTAATATATGTAAATATGTGATAAAGAAATATAAATATTGTAAAAGAAGTATTGATATGTATATTAATTTATTAACATTTATATTATTTATAAATTTCCAAACCATAATTTGAAGATATAAAAAGATTATTACAACAGCCCCTGTGGCCTAATGGATAAGGCATCGGTCTCCTAAACCGGGGATTGTGGGTTCGAGTCCCACCAGGGGTAAATACAAAGTTTATTTTTTTTGTTTTGTGCTATTTATTTCTACAATATTATCTTCTTAATAATAAAAAGAATTAATAGAGATAAAATATTTATTATTTTATTTTTATTAAAACTGCACACTAATGGGATTATATTTTTCTTTGATAAAAATTTTTAGATTATTTTATAATTAATATGTACAGTAATTTACTATTATATTTTATTATGGACTTTATTATTACATATTCAGATTTATTTGGTTTTGTACTTTTAGTCTTTTCTTATTTTGTTTAATTAGTTTTCTACATCTGCTGTATAATGTGCAATAAATCGCGCGGATGGGTCACAAACTCCTTTTGTCCATTGTGGCATCCAAAAGTATGGCACAAAATTTTCAGCTTGACCTTCATAATATTTCTCAAAAATTTTTCTAAAGCACAAAGATCATTATTTACACTTATAAATTAATAATTGATTTATCAAGTATAAAGTAAATGTGAAGGTGAATACTACACCTGTAATAAAGAGCTTCTTTGGTTTTCGGAGTACAATGAGGAAATTTCAAATAAGCTTTTTCTAATTCTTCCTCCAATATACTTCCATCTACAATATCGTGTATGATATGGAAAAGTGATTTCTTAATTGATGTTACACCATCACTAAAAGCTTCTTTATGTCTCCATAATATATTTGATGGTAAGAGATTCGTATCCTCGAATGCCGATCGTAATAAATGTTTTTCAATTCCGCCTGTATTAAGTAACATTTTTATTTAATTTATTAGCATTTCTTGATTAAGAAGATCATACCTTGTGGTTGTCTAGAAGCAGCATCTAATGATAGATAATAATTTGTAAATTGAATATCTAAGAATGGAACTCGTAGTTCTAAACTAAATGCACTGGTTGTTCTGTCTGCTCTTAAGGCATCATACAGATATATGTTCTTTAATAATCGAACAGATTCATTATGAGCTTCTGTTGCGTTTGGTGCATCTCTAAAATAAATATATCCTTGTGCCAATTCATCTGCACCTTCTCCACTAAATATTACTGTTGTTTTTGTGTGATATTTAATATATCTTGAAACAAGATACATACTGAAATTTTAATTAATATATATATATATATATATTATTTATTTACAAGATTAAGACATTTGATTTGCAAACTATACTTTACCCAATAGAAGCACGAATTGTAGTAATATCACATGTTTCTAGGTGATAAATGAGTTTGTCCAAAATATCAACAACATCATTTTCAGAAAAGATTATTTCATGATGTTCTGTTCCTATGTATTTTGCAACCTAGTAAATATTATATTTAATTATGTATTTAAGGAGTGTATAATATAGAAATAATATTTTCAACCTGTCTAGCTGCAATTATATCTGGACTATCTCTCATACCAACTGAAAAACTTTTTATTCTATATGGTAAGTTTATATCTCTTCCACATTTTACAAGTAAAGCAGCAATTAAACTTGAATCAAGACCACCTGATAATAAACAACCAATTTCTCTGTCAGACATTAATCTTTTTTTCACAGCACCAGTAAGTAATTCTCTTATATTTTGATGTATATCTGTGCTACTCAATCCTTAAACATAATTTATTACGTTACTTTGTCCATTTAGGGATTATAAACATTGTTCTATATGATTCAACGAACTGTCATAAGGAATGAAGGCTTGAAAGCTTGGTTTGTCTCCAGGTTGATAATAGTTTACTCTTCTTAATAATTTTGTTCTACCATCATTTAAAATTTCATATTCCTCATAACTTCCTGGTGGAAATGGTTCCAATATGCATCTTGAAGTTATTTGTTTGGTTATTCCTATGAGCCCCTAAATAAAAATTTCAATATAAAAATTCAAATGTTTATGTCGTATTTAATGAAATTACATTTAATTTATTACCTTGCTCTCTGAACAAATTGCAAGTTGTCCATCATCAGAGTACAATCGGAAAAGAGGTCTAACACCATAGGGATCTCTACCAATAAGAATTCTTTTGTTTTTAGTGTCCAGTAAATAAAATGCAAAAACACCATCAAGCATTCTAGTCACGTTTTTAGCACCAAGAACTGCATATAAATGTATTATTACCTCTACATCACAGTTTGTAGCATATGAAAATTCATGTTGTATACCAAGCTATTATATGAGTAAAACAATTATATAAAAACAAATAGTATTGAAATAAATAACAGTGAATATAGAAAGTTTTACCTCTTTGTTGTTATAAATTTCACCATTACACAATAAAGTTAAATGTGGATACTTAAAATTTTTCATTGGTTGCATTCCATAGATATTATCAACAATCATTAGTCTATGAAATCCAAGGTAACCATTCTGCAAACAAAGATTGCAAAAATTTATTTTTATTATATAATTATTTTACTAAAGATATATATGTATGTAATTGTTTAAAATGTTTTAATAGAATTATACTTTAACCATATGGTCAAATTCAATTTTGGTTGCTTCTGGACCACGATGTTTTATCTTCTCAAAGTTTTCACAAATACAAGTTAAAGATGGTACTTTTAATCCAAACAGACCCCAAATTCCACACATTTTTGTTATATATCTTTAATGTATGGAATATTTTAATATAATGTAATCTGTAACAAGCTGTTACATATTGACTTAGTGAAAAACAGTTTTTATTAAAAAAAAAAGCGTTTCCTAAATAAATAATTTAATATAAAATATTATTTTACCAGAAATAGAATTCTTTTTCTTTTGTTTTAACTTGTATCTTTAACTTATTGCTACAATGTGACTAAATATTGAAATTTTAAGCATCAGAGAAGGATGAGGAAAGTAGAGGGGGCACTATTCGAATTTGTGGAAACGTGTCATCTAGTTTCTTAGCAACATGATATCACATTACGACGCTAAGTCCGGTGCAACGAATACCTAGCAGTTATGAAGCTCGTAATGTCATGGCGACGATGTATACGCCTGCGTCGATTAGCTGCAGTAGTAGTGAGACGAAAGGTAGGGGAATACCTCCTTTGTTGACGATTACGGGCATATGAGACGTGCGGGCCGCCCCTATGTGATTTTTTTTGTGGCAAACCCAGCCTATGTACATATATATGTTTTGCGTATTCACGCTGATGCAAGATGTAACATTGATGACATTTATTTAAGAATATGTTGATACAAAAAAGATGTATGATACATTATAATTAAATGTTCTTCTTTTTATTCTATTTTATTATTAATAAGGTAAGAAAATATTAATAGAGTAATAATTTAAGGTTATTTTCAATTTTTCTATTTTTTATATAATATTTTTATTCATAAAAATGATACAAGACTATTAAAAAACATAATAAATTATAGTTGTCAATTTTTCGTAGATATTTTATATATAATTAAAAATAGCAGAAAAAATAAAAAAAGATAGAAATTGAAAAATAGAAACACATTGAAATATAATAATAAATTCTTCTCTAAACTAGTTTTATTTGCAAATAAGAAATAGCATATATTATTTCAGTAAAAAATAAAAATTTGTTATTACATTCCAGTGTGTATATTATTTATGTAAAACTTGATATACATGAAAAAAGAAAGTCGATATATTCTTAAATTATTTATCTAGTAATGTTAATACCAAATAAGAAAAAGTTGACATACATATATACACAATTTGATATATATATTACATTACTTCTTTTTGATACAATTTGTATTAGATATAATTTGTCTATTTACATTCTTTTCATTTACGAATTGAATAAGATGCATATTTTATTTAATATTTTATTCAAAAGCTTAAATATATCTATTCTTAAAAATAAAAACCGTGCACTTATATATATATATATACGTATGTGTATGTATATATATATATATATACACGTGTAGGTATATCACATATGAACAATGTGTAATGTATCTGTACGTATATCAATAGTATTTAAATTGTTTTTATCATTCCTAAATATAAGCAATGTATTTTATTCTTATTGATTTTCTGTAAATTTCTGTTACGCAAATTTATTAGAAAACTATGTTAGTAATGAAAAGTATTTGCATGATTTCAGTCAGTGGTGCCCTCTTTCGAGCGAATTGAATACTTGGTAATATGAAGTGGCGATTACATTAAAGATGGGAGGGGAACATACGATCACTGTTTCTCTTTTCCGGTTTGTTCTTTTTCTGTTTAATTTCGTGGGTGACACGGATTGGTTTTTGGTAGTGCCCGCGTTCGATATTCGAGCAAGTCATACTTAATTGTGTAATGTTTATATAGAATCTGCACTAATCGAATTGGGCTGCATATCAAACGTCCAAGCTGTTTGTTCGGTCAGCTGGTCACTTGTGGGACTGCCTTGAATGTTGGCATACAAGCGCGCGGAGCAGTTGGCTCTTGTCAGGGCTCCAGGAAGGATGCGCGATCGGGGGTGTACGCTTCTTGAGACTGCCACCGGTTTCTTGCGTGCCGGCCGCTTTATGGCCTATAACGCGGCACCATAGCCTCGGCTATCCAATAAAAAATCCTTATTTCGTGGTTTATTCATCCGTCCGGTGTAAGGAGTGTGATCGACATATTTGCAACAATAGAGTAATCGTTGACGAAAAGGCTTCTGGTGACAAATCATATTCAGCGGTGGAAATGATACCGAGAATCGGCGACTTTCGTTACTTACCGTGTACTTACATTCGTAAAATTTAAGTTGGTTGTTGAAACTCGTATTTTCAAGGTTAGAAGCGACGAATACCCTGAACACGACGGTGGTGCGCTCGGCATTTTTACGACGCGCTTAGGTTAAGTGTCATTCGACGTATCACCATTGAATGACAAGTTCAAAAGGAAACAGATATTCGTCGTGTCAATTACTCCAAAGTTTTACCTACGCATACTGCTCGAATACACGCATTCTGTTTCTGAAGAAGAGCAATAAACGTCATTCATTGTGGCGAAGAAACGAGGAGACGAAGCTCGCCATTGCAAGAGGTCAAACTCAACATATTTGTGTGCGCTTTTTGGTGCAATGAAGATTTCCGTAAAAACAAGCCGGTTAATACGTTCAAGTGTTTGAGAAAAGGAAATTTGTGAATTTTTCAACAGCTTGGTGATTATCGTTTTCATTTGTCTTATCGATAGATGATGAGAATGATACGAGATGCTTTTCCGATAACGCAAGTTTCGACGAATTAAAGAAAATTGGGTGAAACGAATAGAAAAGTCTGACTTTAACCAACTGCAATGCCATCGAATCACCGAATGCTGAGATCGTGACTGTAATTATTATTTATATTTATATGTGTTTCAAATGTAAGAAACCGGAAGGAAGCGTACAACTAAACGACAAAAAAGTACGGCTGACGTGTGTTAGCAAATCATAGGGTTCATTACCGACGTTATTTAATCGTTCGTATGATTTTTGTACTTAATGCAAAACCTAACCTCAACGCAAACAGTACAAAGTACTTATCGTAAATCGAAATCTACAGTACTTTAATTCTAATCGATTGAAATAACCAAGAAGATACGCGAAGTTCATTTTTATAATTGGATTTTAAAACGGCTCCACGAGAATTTGTACTTAATACTTTCGATCTTGAAAAAGCGAAAACATCGTGCCGGCATCGTTACCTGTTTATCGACAGTGTATGGAGAATTCAGTGCTGGAAAATTTGTTCGATGTGTACATAAATAATTAGTGAAACGCTTTTCGATTTTAGCAATTTCGTTGCTACTGGTAAAGCAGCTATTGGGAAACGATCGCTTTTCACAGCGGTCACGAGAAAGATTATTACGCAAATTAACGACATCGCTGCCGAAAAATTTTTAGACAGTACAACGCATCGCATCAAGGTAAATACATATATAGCTCAACGTTACTCTAATAAAACAACTATTCCAAACCATTTATTCTTTATCACGTCATTTTTTCGTTTTATCGATTTTCTTTCCAAAAAGTGTTTCATTATTTTTTTTTACTCTCTGCTTTGTTCTAATAGTTATATTTCATCGATACAACAACGCCAACAGAACCTAACCTATTTTTAATCGTTATTTCGTTCATATTATATATTACAATGTTCATTTTTTTTTATCATTTATATATTTCAATTCCGATATTCAATAGACGACCAGTATACGTGCTTGAGCGCGAAATATAAATTCTCCTGAGAGAAGGTAAGGCAGTATCCATTTATTACTGTCGGCAGGGAAGGAATTAAGATGATTTCTTATAGCGTGCAAGAATGTACGATAAAATTTCACTTTGACCAAGACGTTTCTGGTAATCAAGACACCTTATATAAGATACACATTGTACCCTTTGGCTTTAATCAGGAAGTAATAATAAATCTAAGATATACATATGCACCTGTACTTGTTACCACATCGAAGTGGTGTTTACATTTTCTATTTTTTTCTATTCGATTTTTTATTCAATTCTCCAAAAAATAAAATGGTTGTCGATTTATTTTACGTGATGTTGTTTTTAAAAAAAAAAGACGCTTTTCGAAATAAGTCGAAACGTTCTATAAAATATCGCGTATATACTCTATTCGAGATAATTATCAATTAGCATACGATGCATCTGTTCCAAAATATAAATTCTTCTTTCAAGATTGCAGCTATTTTCAAATTGCATCTTTCCAATCGAATTATTCTTTTTTAAGCGAATTTTAACGCAATTCTGCTTTCCAGATACTAGGAATAATTCCGATTTAGGGAATTTCGGTTCGAGTTACTAGGGAATTCGAGTTATTCCATTATTTAAATATCCGAATTAAATTGCACATATTTTTCCGAAGCATTCGAGAATTGTTATTTTTCTCGATGACACATTCAATATACAGTGAGTTAAAAAATACTGGAAGCAACAGAGTCAAAATTGCGTTATAGTAATTCTCGCTCTGCTAGTTCTATTATTTTTTCACCCACTGTATATCGTACTATATTCCATGGCACATATTAACGTAAAAGGTGAAATTAATTTTGTCCAAAATCACTATGCGTTTTCCATAAATAACAAAATAAAATAATTTTGACTCTGCTATTATAGTTCTACTATAGTTCCAGCGTTGATCGTATAATATTCGTTACTTCCTGTTGTCCACTCGCAATGTTCAAATTCACTCGAACATGATGGTTTTAATAACGTGCACACGGTTCAGATAATATTCGGATCAGATGCAATAACGAGGTAATAATTAAAAATAATAAGAGGCGTCGTTATTCGCATTACACCGTGTTAATAGGCTGAAGCACGTGGGTTTCCCGAAATAAAACGGAAGCCTATAGACCGTAGCTTTCTTCTCTCTTCACACGTGTCGTCTGTACATTGTGTGTAAATATTTTCGTAATCGTTTGGTCGTTCGCATAAGTTTCATTGCCGAACGTCACCGTTAGGCTTAATTGCCCGTGTTAATTGTCCTTGCACGTGCAGACGAATCGAAGTCTCGTTGGCTGAACTTTATCAATTTTCGGAGTTACGACAAAAGCTTTCTCTTTAATTCTCCCGACTGTAGATACGAAATACGATGAACAGGTAATTAAGAGGTTTTTATTTTCGTCCGAAGGTAGATGGAGTAACGAGCCTCGTAACGCGTAGACGTAGCTTGCGAGGAATCTCACGCGAGAATATGAATTTTATTTCGTTATTTTCAATTTTGACCTCGCATTCTGAGAATTTTTTCCCTCGATAAAACAGCAACCATAATTATTCTACGTGCTTTTGTTCTTGGAGGTCGACAGTGGTATTTTGGAATAAGATATTTTGGAGATTCGTGGATTCGTTTGTAGAGTATCTTCTCCCATTTTTTAATCTTGACGAGAATCAAATTTAATGGTAAATATAAATATAAATTACCAGTGTTTTCGTAATGGCACCAATGGGGTGCAGAGAGCTGAATGGTTCTTAGGATGGTTTAGGACGAGGAAGATTGCTTATGAAAATGAATTGATTATTTTTCTCTTTTTCCTCTCTTTCGCAAGTTTCGATATTTGCTTCGATTTCGAAGATGGTTAGATCAGCGGCTCATTATCATATTTAATACGTATAGCTATGTACGTACACGTGTAAAAGTAATAGTTCAATGTTACAAATATATATAGTGTAATATTGTAACAAATTAAAATAGTAATTTGTACGAAAACAAATAAATTACAGATAAACATACAATATCTTATGCAGTCACATATAAGCTGCTAATTAACCAAATCGATTAGACTGGATAATTTGGTAAATCCTCTATAAAACGAAACATAGGAATTTACTTTAAATATAAAAGATTAAGAATTAATCAACTATCGTGCCACAAATTGTTGGGGACTTCAAAAAGACATAATCAAATTTGCCCTGTAAAGAATTCATTATTTTTCCTGTTTACGTAAAACCGGTGAATTTTCATGAATATCAACGATATTATAATTATTTATACATCGATGATATGTATTAGAGAATAATGAAAGTAAAAGTGACATTAACACTGGAACTACCAACCCAGTGAAAATGACTGGTCCCAGAATTTTCCTTTTTGCAATCACCGAACACATACACCTGCTTTAAGAATAAAATTGGTATCAACTCGTATTAAGAAAGAACTGTGATCAATATATTCACTCGTATTCGTCGTATCGCTGAAATTACTATAATCTGTGCACGTTATAGTTAGGTAGCCATTACAGATCGGTAGTTCTAGTGTTAACCCTTTGCACTCGAGAGGCGACCCTCAGTCGCCATTTTATAACATTTGGTAGATCGATATTAATTAATATATGTAGGATGGCGAATACTGGTCTTGAGACACCGAAAATTGTCGAAAGAACAAGAACGCGATAACGCAAACTCAAAACTCGTAAACTGATTTAACTTAGGAAAAGAACACCAAGGTAACGAAACGAAAACGCACAAAGACGCACTCTTTTAAAACTCTCTTTCCAACACCAAGCGACTCACGCTTGTGCTGGTCACAACAGATTTCTAAGGACTCTGTTTTGGTTGTCAAGGACCACGCTTTTATGCTTTCCTTAACCTACGCTTCACCTCCCCGTAGGGGAGCCATGCAACTTAATTTTGTTATATAGAATAACTTTTCGATTTGCTTCTAGAAGATATCAATCGGTTTGCAATTTGTTTTTGTTGGCAATAGCCGATTCGCGATTTCTTTTGGTATCCTGCATATATGAAATTTAAGGTAACGTGCGAGGTATCGAAATCAATGAATTCTACGCGATAATTATCATACGATTCTTTATTTACTGCTGAAAAAAGTATCGTCAGTTTCGTAGCAGAGAATCTTTGAATGTCTACTCTCCTCTAGCCAAAAGATCGTCGAGTGCAAAGGGTTAATATATAATACAGTATAATTAAGATAACGTAATATAGCATTAAAGACGAAAGACGATGTGTCGAGAGATACGCAAACTGTTCAACGTCCATGTACCTCGTGTATTTAAACACGTGCTATCGAGACACATTGTTTATTCCTTTGTCATGCGGTAACAAGCTTTTCGCGTATGTGCCGTATAAAAATATCCTCGTTTATCGTCACAATACCGCGAATTATTTCTTTATGTTCGAAAATTCCGATAACTGAGAAACCGGGTCGTTTACAGTTTCCTCGCTTTTTCCTCCACTTCGCTATCGATATGCATAAGATTGTACAGATGATTTATTTAGATACTTAACGGATGTGCCTTTACCCCGGATACATCAGATTTCGCTCCGTTCCCAACGTAAACACTTTAACTTGGGTTAGTAACGGTCACTTATGTACGTCATCGTCCTATTTTTCAAATATTCCTCATATCTTTGGTACATGCGTGCGTGTGGATTTTCGCATGCGCGAATTGCTCGGTTTATACGTATCGACAAGAGTAACTATAGAACGCGATGTCTGTTTCCTACGAGATATTGCTATTCATAAATCATGCGAGCCTCGATTTTTTCAAAATACCCGGCAAAAATGGATAAACGAAACGAAAGGAAATCGAGGATACTGTCTGATTTTCCAAACAGTCCTATTGAAAAGTATTCCTCGGTGCTTATTTACCGAACAATCTTTTATATAAACTGAGCCGTTCGCTGCACAAATTGATTAACTACATAAAACAGAAAGTGGAGAAATGCAACGAAATAATGTATATTGTTTTTTAAAATTCCCTCTATAATTTAAATCGAAATAAATATCGTAGAATGCATAAATGCAAATGTAACTTTCATCTAACGGTATATAAAATTTGTAAGAAAAATAGCCAAAAGGTAATCGTTAATAATGTTACCATTTTTATGTTACTGGAAGAGTTAATCGATTTGGCAAGTGAAAAAAGTAATAAATTTAAATTTTACTAAATTTTACTTAAATTCCGATAAGACGGCACTAAAAAATTCACCGTTGTCATTCATGGTTTGCTAGTGCATTTGAGTTGCATTATTGCAACGATTTACATTAGAGCATGGAGTTAATCAAAGTGACCTCTGAAATAAATTATTTATTATTCAGTGGCCAACAAATTTTTGTCGTTTAATGGTGTTAATCTTAATTATCAGGGAAGTTATTATAAATATAAAAAGTTACGACTATACCAAGTGCTTTGACACTTAAATTTAAGATTTTTCAAAAAGTGGAGTTAATCGATTTGTGCAGTGAATGACTGAATCGACGAGTGCTTTGGAAGAAGGTCTGTCTATCAAAGTTGTGTTCAGAGATATGCTGAAACATTTTTTCAACGTGAAATCGATGGAAAGTTTATGTAATTGATGTTGCATAAATTTTGTTGTCGATAAGGAATAGATTGTAAAATTGGAATAATCGGAGTTATGTTAATTAATAGACGAGTTAATTACGAAATAGTAAAGT